GACAAGATCAACTTATTATGATAAACTATGACCTTGCCATACTATGTTTTTCCTTCTTTGAGACTTCTCGGTGCTCGTCCAGCGGTTTACAGGCAATTACGGGGAAACAGAACATGGCGTCTCATCCTGATATTGAGCTTCTTGTATCATATATAGCGATGAATATCCCATCTCAACGAAAGAAGAAGACAAAAACCCAAAACTGAGTACAACTTGACGGCTAATACGTATCATATATCATAGGACATCACCAAAAATGACCCCGTCTTCAGCAAAAACCAATGGAAGTTGAGGTTGGGCATTCAATGCGAAAAAAGCCCAAGGCAAAAACAATCTGGTATATTCCAATATACCACGCAAAAACATCAACAGGTTCATTATGTGAAAATCCATGCCCTCCGGTTGGGGCTCTTCTTGCGCACAAGGAACATTCTGTCTTTCTTGCGATCATTGACTTTAAGTTCGGTCAGGGTGCTTGAGGTCTCGGTGACGAGCTTGCCTTCGCGTAGTCGCCGAGTGTGGGCGAAGAGCTCTTCCTGCAAATCTTCAGAGACCCATTGCTTGATGATAATGTAGTTGCCGTCGAGCTATGGGTGAAAAGAGGTCAGTATGGCGCCATCTTTGACTTGCAGTTAGACAGATGACTTACCTCATCGAAATCCCAAGGCAGGCGATAAGCAATCAGTGTCTCTGGGAGGATATACTTGCGGTGGACCTGCAATCAATTGTGTTAAACACCTCACGCAATGGCTTGGGCCCGCTGAATCCAGATCACTTACCTTAATCCACGTAGTCTTCTGGTGATCAATCTCCTTCTCCTTCTCTTTCTCCTTTTCCTTTTCCTTCTCTTTCTCCTTCTCCTTTTTCTCTTCCTTGTCTTTCTTCTTCTCCTCTTCCTTGGGTGGATTCTTCTTCTTGTTGATGATGTCCTCAATCTCTGCCTCGGAGTAGCCAAACTCCATCTTTAGTCGAGTCCTGAACTCGCGGTCTTTTCTCTCCTTCTCCTCTCGCTCCGCCATGCGCCTTCGCTCTTCGGCGATCTTCCATTCCTCGATAGCAGCCTGCTTCATGGCCGCCTCTTTCTTCTCACGTTCCATCTGCTCGAGTAGCTGCCTTGCTTGCTCATCGCGGAGCTCCTTCTTGAGACGCTCGCGCTCTTCCTCTTCCTCAATCTTGCGCTGGAGCTCCTTAAGTTTCTCCTCACGCAACTTGGCCCGGACTTCTTCCTGCTCCGCAGCCTGACGCTCCGCCTCTTCGAATTTTCGTAGCTTGAAGCGGAACTCGGCCTGCCGCTGTTCCTCCTCCATGCGCTGCTTCTTTTCAAACCGCTCAAGTCGTCTTAGACGATCACTGATCTCATCTTCGTACCAGTTTTCTTCTTCTTTAATAAGTTGAGTCTGGTTGTTCTCATGTTCACCGCGCCGGCGAGCAAGCTCCCTCTCTAGACGTTCAATCTCCATCTGCTGCTTCATGAGCTCGAGATCCTGGCGTACATCGTTCTTCTCGAGCATCCGTTGGTCAATCACCAATTCAAAATCACGTTGCTGACGAGGAGACGCCTCATGGCGAGGAGAAGCCTCGCGAGACACGCTCGTGCCAGCACGAGGTCGACGGTGCTTTCGGAGGACAGTTTCATCCTCCGACTCGATATCGACTATGGTTGTATCCTCGTGGCGCTGCTTGCGGTTCTTGTTGGCACTCCTGTTGGTGCTTTTGTTGCGGGAGTCGTTTTTGATATCAACAATGACTGCAGGAGGAGGAGGAGGGGGCTGCAGTTCGCGGCGGCGCCGAGCGCCCGTTGAAGCGGAGCGATGGATACGGACGTCTTCATGCAAGACAGGACTGAGATAGGTCGTGCTGCTGAAATCAGGATCATAGCGATGACGAGAAATAGAACGTCTTCTGACGGAGTGTCTGTGGCGGGGAATATCCATGGAGACGTCCGACTCAGAGTAGTCTGACTCTGACTCGGTGACTAAACGTGCACGACGAGGCATCTTGACCAGCGCTTGCCTTTGTCTAGAAATTTAATTATATATGGGATCGTATTGCGTGGCCGAGGCTGACAAGGCTGAACCACGTCGGGTATCAAAGCGGGGTGGTGCAGGAATCTATATATGAGGTGGGCGGCAGTTGTATAGAGTTGCAAGGACTTGAGGGGAAGGATAGGTCGATAAGAGAAGAAAAGAAAAGATGAAAGGCAACGACAGGAATAGGACCCGGCTCTAAAAAAGTCAAGAAGACGAACCAGCCACAGCTTTCGTAAAAGCGGGAACGGCCAGCGCTACGAAGATCAGACGAGGATAAATGAATGATGACATTCAGCTGAAGTGGGGGAGGAAGCAGGTTTAAGTATCGCAGGAGACCTGACACTGAGAGATCATCCCGTCGCCAACGGTCGCAGGAGCCTAACTATGGGGTACTGCTCATTCTTCCTATTTATTTCCCTTTCGCTTACCACTGTGGGTTTGATAATGATAGACAGCTCCGAATATTGACTCCCCTCGAGATCTAGTGTGCATGCACTATCCCGAGTGCACATTGTCTTTGTAGGCGAAACGCCAACTGGCGGCTATAGAAACAATCGACCAGAACGATCTAGATGAGATTAACATCGACTGGACGCCAATCTTTCATTTTTACTGCTTTAGGCGCCTAATCACTTCTGGTACAATCCCAGGTCCATCCAATAATCCACCCACCTTGCTCCTGATCCAAGGAAACTAATCGGTTGATCCCGCTGTGACCCAAGAGTTAGGTATTCCCAGACGTAGCATCCTGAGGTACCTACTTTTGCCAGGACTTACTTCAGCTGCCGTCCCTGTATCCACACATCTGACACTAGGGCGTGACATCCCTCGTGATGGGGATAAGTACACAGGAATCTGGTGCTGTTGCTGCCCGATTGCGCATGACGCCACCCACGCAATACTTAGGGTCGGTGATACTCGATTCAGGTGGGCCTGTGGCGGATGAGGGTTCTATCTCCCTTCTCTGCCTTTTTAAGGTACCAGAGACGTGACACTACGCGTAGATGTGATCAAGCTCCACTTTCGGAGCTGCACTTTTTGCCCAACGGCTCCTTGCGATATCCATTACTAGCTTATCAGGTATGCAGCTGATGGATCTGTATTCACTTTGCCATACTTGTTGCCCTGTATGGACTATGTGAAGAATACCTCATATATCGTTTTTGATACCAGAACCAGTCATCATCAGACATGGTTCTGACCCACACTATCCCTAGTTGTATCGGTATCCAAATGAGAAGTGGTCCTGCCTTTGTCTAACCCAACCCGATCGGACCCGCCGGACATACTTCATACTCTTGGGTATTCTTCACAAGTAGTTGTACACTCTCCCAAGGAACGATCGGGGCTGGCTTTTTCAGGGAATCTGTGGGGTCTCATCGCACTTGTACCTGCTCAACAGCCCTGGTGACCTGACAGATCGAAGCACCTTGCAAATCGTGTAGAGCGTTTTGTTCTCCGCCATATTCGGGGATGTCTTCTCATCCCAGCTTTCCCAAATATATGATTGAGGCAGTTGCTGTCTGCCGACTGGCGTGCACATGTGATTTCGTGTTCGACTTCATTAATCATGCTCGTCCACCGGACTTCAGAATCTGCTCCAGATTTTCACGACTGTTCTTGTGCGTCATCTCGAGATAATTCAATTTCTTTTCCAGACCCTCAATGTCTGTCTTCAGCTCAGTTCTCTCGGACGCTAAACGCTTGTCAACCGTGTCCATCGGGACCGCCACGAACCTACAGCCAAAGAGGAACAGTCAGCCTTATCTCGGCATCCTTACTCTGTAAGGCAGCTGATAGCCACGCAGAACCTGTACTCACATTTTCCCAACGCCCTCGTAGACCTTTGTGTCTTTGGATAGCGATCCAATTTCTTTCGATGTCAATTCGAGGAGGCGGATATTCTTCTGCTTTGCCGTGATCTGTGCCTTGGTGACGCCGATCTGCTGCTGCGAGCTGATCGCTCGAGCTTCGATCTCTTGCAGCAACTATAAAACAAGTATTAGAAGGAGAAATTTTAAAGACATACACCCATAGCAACTCGTACCTTCTGAAGAGCTTCGTTGGGGATAGACATGTCGAGGGCAGATATAGGACGTGGAGGGATAGTTGATGAGGGGGAAGCTTCGCGTCCTTCGGATCGACTACTTGGAACGTGTTCAGTGCGGTGGCGATGAGTACTATGAGATCTGGGACTATGAAGTTTCCTCAAGCAATTGTTTCGTTCGAACTATCCGCGCGTCCCTGATGCAGTTAGATGGGTTGAGCGATGCCAATGTACTGAGTTGTACCCCATGATCCCATACTTGGGCTAGAGCTCCTCAAAGGGCGGGCGGTAGGGGCAATTACCAGATACGGCTACATAGGGCATAGGGTTTGGGCTCATGAGATGTACAGATGCATGATATCTTTCAAGGAACTTATTTTATTTGATCAAGGTAGCATATAGAGATATGCGGATTTTGTGCCTACTCAATATCTGCTTGTGATCTTATGGATTGATTACAAATTGAGATTATCTCGTGTCGTATGGAGTAGTCAGGATATATATACCCCGGAAAGCCAGAGGTTAGTGCCTAAAGAACAACGAGGAGACAAAACAGTGTCGAATAGGTACGGTCTACAGCTGGTTGGCAAAATGGTGCAAATGTTTATACTCTTCCTTTATTTCCGAAGCTCTACCTCTCCAGGACTGAGATGAATTGGGTAAGTGTCGGAACAGCTATAATCCGCCTAGCTTTACCAGTAATGATGAGACGATGAGACGGGTATATTAAAATATACCTAGAGAGGTAGGTACGATATGTGACGGAGGCCTTCTATGCAAACTAGTCAAACCCCCACATGTTTACCCGCCAGGGTCTGGCACCAAGTAGCCTCATATTTTGATTTCCCCTTCCTTCTTTCTCGCCCCTTCCATCGTCCTTTATACCGTTAGGAACGTAACAGAAACCGAAAATCGCGTCCAAAATGGAGAATTACCATAAGATCGAGAAAATTGGCGAAGGTGACGTGATGATGCAGTTATCTCAAGTGGCTGCCTAGTATACTATAGCTCACGCGTCGATGCTCCCCAGGAACGTACGGTGTCGTCTACAAGGCTCGAGAGGTGAACCACCCAAACCGTGTCGTGGCTCTGAAGAAGATCCGACTCGAGGCCGAGGACGAGGGCGTCCCCAGCACCGCTATTCGGGAAATTTCCCTTCTTAAGGAAATGAAGCACCCGAACGTGGTTCAGTTGTTTAATATTGTATATGTTGACGACTGCAAGCTTTATCTTGTCATGGAGCTCCTAGACTGTGATCTAAAGAAATACATGGATGCCCTACCTGTCCATGAGGGCGGTCGTGGTAGAACTCTGCCGGACGGGTCAATGATGAGCGCCAACCTGGGTCTAGACGGAGCTATGGTGAAGAAGTTCATGGCACAACTGGTCGAGGGTATCCGCTACTGCCACAGCCACCGTATTCTGCACCGTGACTTGAAACCACAGAACTTACTTATTGATCGGGAGGGAAACCTGAAGTTGGGCGATTTCGGACTGGCGCGCGCCTTTGGTGTCCCGTTGCGGACTTATACTCATGAGGTAATAAATACAGCCCATGAAACGCGTCATTTAAGCCTAGCAGCTAAATATTGTTCGTCTAAGGTGGTTACCCTTTGGTATCGCTCTCCGGAGATTCTGCTCGGTGGACGCCAGTACTCCACCACAGTTGACATGTGGTCTGTTGGAGCTATCTTCGCGGAGATGTGTACTCGCAAGCCACTATTTCCTGGTGACTCGGAAATTGATCAGATTTTTAAGATCTTCCGGTGCGTAGCTTTTTGCTAGGTCGAGTTGGCCCAATAGAGTTTGACACTTGGTTCTATAGTCTCCTTGGCACCCCCGATGAAGAGATCTGGCCTGGTGTTGCCGCGTTTCCAGACTACAAGCCCACTTTCCCAAAGTGGAGGCGCTCCCCAGCTCCACTGGTCCCAGGATTAGACAGTGCTGGCTGCGAGCTTCTGGAGGCTCTGCTCGAATATGATCCAGCTCAGAGGCTATCTGCAAAGCAGGCCTGCATGCACCGTTACTTCCGCAACGGCAGCTCATTCTATTCCAGCCGCACCCAGGGCAGTGGCTAACCAATCTCCAGAAAGAGAGCATATCGTAACATCATTGATGTTGGATAGTAACTGAAGAATAGATTATATCATAGTGAAGTCAACACGGACGGTTGAGGGGTCGAAGACCATATCTCTAGTCAGAAACCAAGCAATTTCACCTGATTGCCAGCATCACCATAGCTGATTAAGCGTTTGATTGCTCCCTGCTGTTTGTAGTTCGCAACACTTGACCCCGAACACTACTCGCACCATTGACCCATTATTTTAACAAATTCTTACTGTCTACCATGCTATTACGTTTATTATAAAGCTCAGCTGTGCGGGGGCTTATATAGAGGGTATCCTTTATGATTTAAATAAAGTAAGCATGCTGGACAGATTCGATACCACTAATTATAGTAGAACTTAACTGGTCGGGGAAGTGCTGTACCAAAAGGAGTGCAGCCTGTTTATCTAATAGAGAACCCTTTAACTTATATATCCAAGTTTATTGACTAATATGATAATAGGGTAAGAAGTCCAAAATATAGTAAACACATACATCACATAGATATATAGTATGCTCTTTGGCTGTTTATTTTGCAGCCTTGTTAGACAAGTGTTATGTTTAAAGGAGGATCTTTGATGGTTAGTAGATATATATCTACGTGGCAGGAAGGGTACCTAGGTTGTAAAAGAGAATACTTCAAGATATAGGTTATGTAGATCTAGGCTGGAGAACAATCAGTCTGTGACCATCTTGTAGTTACTCCAAACGATGATGATATGACAAAGGACAATCCTAAGGTCGGTAAAGCTAGTGGTCACAAGCACTTATCTAAGGTGGTGGGTGTGATTAGAACCAAGGACAACATCTCAAAAGGAGTTCAACCAAACAATGTATTTCTGGAAGACTCTGAGAGCCCAAAATAAGTTATTTACCCAACAAAAGAACCAGCAGGAAGAAAGGTACATGTGCGCAGGGATTCTGCGGTTGGCCGTCGGACACGACAGCCCATCGGATCCCCGTTGCTGTGGCAGGGATGCTGGTGGAGACTGTGCTGGAAGCGCAGCCCGCTATGGACTATGGAGGCATACATCATCCACTCCTCGCTATCCATTTCTTGACCGATCAGAGTGATTCGAACATAAGATTTCTAGAAAGAAGAAATTGTAAGTTTGTCAAAATCCCTATGATCATTCATTTCGGGTCGTTGATTCCCCCTGCGGTTACGATCATCACGATCATCAATCAAAACAATACTAATTGTTTGGTTTACTACATCTAGTAGTTATTTGTTGTTAGCCGCCAAAGTCATCGCCCTAATTGGCACCGAGTCTCCAGAATCATATTTGGAACACCGTTATAGTCGTTGATTCCGACAAACATTGGAACAACTGGGCTGTGATAGGGTCCAGTGGGCGGATCGCAGCCTCTGGCAGCCAGAATGAAGGCTTCATTGTGGATCACGGCCACATTCCTCGCTTCCACGGTCCTATCTATAGAGACATTGCCATTCTCTCCCCCGCAATTCGCAGAAATCAGCAAAAGAGCATACGATGTCTTACAAATCCTGAAGCGCGCCGATAATAATTGCCCGGGGGGTTACAATCCTTGCACCAACCTAGGCCATTCCGACGTTTGCTGCAGAAGCGACTCGACCTGCTCTCGAGACGCCGCCGATAATATCGCTTGCTGCCCTACAGGGGCAAAATGCACAGGAAGTCTTACGGGGACGTCCACTGGCACGGACACCAGCTTTAGATTCCCTGGAACTGCAACTGCGGCACCGACTACGACTACCAACGACGCTACAATAACCGGCTCTACACTGACCGGGGCTTATCCGTTCATCTATGTCCCCACCACATTCCCCAATGCAGGCATATGCTCGTCATACTGGTCCGTTTGCCAAAGCGAGTATTCGCAGTGCACCGCGGCACTTGGAGGCCGCTACGGAGTCACCGTCGCAGGAGGCGGTGCAGGAGTCACGGTCGTGGGCGGTGGTCCAACGGCCGCCGCGTCTGTTTGCTCGAGTCTGAGTCAAGCTGCTTGCCATGGGCTCAACCTGGCGTATTGCGGCACGTATGCCACGGGAGGAAGTAGCCCGAACATTGCTGTATCTGGCCGAACCTCCAGCTTGCAGGACTTAGTTTTTGGTATGGTTGTTGGCGCGGCGGGAATGTTTATCTGAGCCTTTGAGGCACGGAACCATGGAGGTCGACAATATGAGACGCCTTATTAAGTTTGTTTACGAGGGATTACAACAGGGTATCGCAGACATTGGCCCTCTTTTCACGACTCTTTCTCTTTTACGCTTCGGATGACCCTCGAAACGATTGACTGATGATATGTACGCATGTATTTGAAATGGCGCTATGTTTCCCAATATGCTTGTATATAGAAGACGAGATACTTTCATCGATCAACATGACGAGCAGAATCAGATTGACTTGATAAGCTTCACTTCACTCCCTTATCTCTGACAACATATTCAAAGGCATTGTGCATGCTGTACAAGGTTGTTCGACTCATTCATTAGGCTCCTTGCAAGAATCCCTCTTGCTTCACAGTCATTGGTCGATCAGAATGGACTTGATCAAACGCGGCCTGAACTGGTGGATACAGTGAAACTCAATGCCTTGCCTATGCACAGGAAATGCCCAATCTCCTGCCCAAGGTTTCAAACTTTCGGATTTCCAAGGCATTAGCGTCCCCGGATTGCCTGAAGATGTGTTGTTCCTACATGGAGTACAGAGCATATCAGTGCATACACCGCTCTGGCGATTCGAATCCGAACAGCCGACACGTCAGTAAGCCTTGATACTTAGCTAGCACAAGACAGGAGACAAAAAGATCCGTATCAATGAGGAAGGGTTGACGTATTAGAAAGCCCGATGGGGACAGGCCTACATCGACCTGATGCAGTTTAGTTGCTTGGCCGATTCTAAGGCCGGGTAATTTCTGGGATCTTCTGTTGGTGGAGCTTCTAGACAGTCAATGGCCCGGTCTGACGGTCTGAGTCAGTCTCGCCGGCCGTTAAAGCCAGGCGATCAGAAGAGTCGAGCACAGTGACCTAGGTGTGATGCTGTCAGGGACGGCACCCAAAAGAGCGGGGAGGATTCCATGTGAGGGGCAGTGATTGTGATGCCAATCACACCGACGGGTGATGCTCAGTTATTATTAAAAAAACTGATAGGACGAACAGGAAGATATGATATGATTCCCAGCCTCCTAAATTTCCTGGTAGTCTCTGAATCTGAGTTATTGTAATATATCGTGCGTCAGCTGTGTTGTAGCGATTGGCTGTTGGTATCAGGAAATCCGGTGGTTGGGTTTGGATGAGAGGAGGCTGGGAGTTGTGCTCAGTCTCGACAGTCAGACCTCCACGAGCTGCCGGATCGCTTCTCATACCTCCATTCCTTTCTCTCATAGAAACATTTTTGTTTACTTAGATCATTATCACAAAATTTCTTACATTCCGTTCGTTTTTGAAACCTCGTGGAATCTGCTTTATCGCATTCCTGCTATCGGAACTATCCGAACTATAGCCTGTCAAAAGTGTCACTGCCTCTGAGCTGGTCGACTGCAACGAGTGACAGGCTTAAGCTGATTTGGCCAGGAATCGCAGCAAACAGTCCAGGGTGGGCGACTGATCGTTACCTTGCGCCAACCCTTCAAGAATCGTCGAAACTGCTCCTTCGCCATGAAGACATTTCATATAGTACGGCCAACGATCTCGATACTGGCTGTTCTGAGTCAGTTGCAACTATCAGCTGCGACACCGCTGGAAGTCGAAGAGGCCAGTCTCGAGGAGGCCAGTCTCGAGAAGCGCTGCGCGAACCCTTGCGGCTATTACAGTCAGCTATGCTGCACCTCCAGCCAGACCTGCGGTACCAACAGTCAGGGACAAGCAGTTTGTTTGGACTCGTCGGGCGGCAGCGGCGGCGGCGGAAATTGGGAATACTATACCACTACCTACGTTATCACCGAGACGGATACCAAAACGATTACTTCTACATGGAGTAGCCTGATACCCACCGCAACAAGCTCGACTAGCTGCAGGACCGACCTCGGCGAATCAGCTTGCGGCAATACATGCTGTGGTGCCGCCTTTGTCTGCGCCAATGATCAATGTATTGTGGGAAGTTCATCGATATGGGTAACAGCCACTGCGACGCCTCCAGTCCGGGGAACGACACAGTCGACTATGACGCAGACTGCAACTGCGACGACCACACAAGGGTTCATTCCACCTGTGGGAACAGACGGCGCAACTTTGATCGGAGTCCATGCTGCCGGAGGAGGACTGAGCGGTGGCGCGATTGCGGGTATAGTTATCGGCGTAATTGCTGGCGTCTTTATCCTGCTCCTGCTATGCGCCTGTATGTGTTGCAAGGGAGCTCTGGACGCCCTGTTCGCCTGCCTTTGTCCTGGTAGAAGGAAGAGAAAGGACACCACATATGTCGAAGAGCGATACCATCACCATGCGCACGGAAGCAAACCCGAAGGGCGTACCTGGTTTGGCACTCGGCCATCCGCCTCAGAAGGAGGCGAAAAGAAGTCCAAATGGGGAAGTCTGGCGACCATTGGCATTCTACTCGGCGCTCTTGCGCTGTGCCTAGGCTTGAGGAGGCGCAAGGATGAAGACGAGAAGAGTGATTACACTTACCCTAGCTCCTACTATTCTTACTACGACTACTACACGAGCGCAAGTATGTCTCCCTCGCTCCCCCAATTGACCGTCCGTAGCTAACCAGTCTGCGTCTTAGGTAGCGAAAGCTCGGATAGGCGAACGAGAGACACAAGACGATCCAGAAAATCTCGCACGCCGCGCTCACGACGATCATGATCTAATGACTTGATCTCAATGATCCGAGGGCGTCCTCGAAAACGAATTCCCCCTCTCCTGTGAATGACTGAGCATTCTCAACGAGCTTCCCCAATAACTGATAATGCATAGATCGGCGCTGGCCTTGTATGTTATAAGTATGCTTGCTGTTTTTCCGTTGCGATCTCTGATTTCTGGGACGGAAAT